ACATTAAAGACAAGGACTAGAACACTGTTTACATAGCTATATAAAAATTAATAGCTTAGATTATGAGCAACAGCTTAAGTTGAAAGAACGGCATTTAGAGCAGTAGGTTTTCCAAGTGCGCTTTCTGTTAACATCGAAAGAAGAGTCTAATTGAGAAGAGTAGTGAGAATGGAGCTGGAGCTTAAAGGATGAAACAGATGAACTGTTACGAATGATCGGAGAGAGATTGTTCCATAGAAAGACGATTCGGTTAAAAAAGAGTTTCTAAAATAAGACGTTTTGCACGGATTGACTTGCATCGGATCGGATTGGACGTTTATAATCCGACAATTGGCTAATGTTTAAAATACAATCCGATCCGAAATTGTCTAGTCCGAATCCGATCCGATTTTTGATAAAGAATTCCGATCCGAAGGATCCTTTAATAAAATGAATTTCTCATTCAAGTGGAAATATTTAACCAAATAATAATTATTATATATAATTAATTCATCGGATTCGGATCGGATTTGCACACCTCTATTACATACATACATACAAACTTTATTTAACCATGCCAGCCTGAACAACCGTTGGGAGGCTGATTTCCATGAGGGGCGTGAAATATAAAATTAACTATTTACAAGAAGTGAAGAAATATGAAAAACATAAAATGAGACTAAATTATTGCAGGAACAAGAAAATACGGTGATTTTTAATGCACGATCATACACAAGCAAGTTTCAACTCATTCTTTGTTTTTATATCGATTTGAAAGAGCTTAAAGATTCAGCAGTTTTTGCGTCATGGGAAGATTATTCCAATACAAGGCACCGTTACAACTGAAACGTGCACTTCTTGCCGAATTCTCTTTGCGAACCTCAAGAATACGAAACCGAGCCAGTGGTGAAACGAGGTAAAAAAGATTTCAGGAACGGCCCCTGCTGCACTGACCGGAGATATTTGCTCACAACTTCACATCAATGGCATCGATGGAATGTCGAATAAGGATATCACAGACCTGATCAACACCGCACTTCTCGAACCTATGCAAACATACAAACCACTTGACTGTCTTCCTCCCATAGATGAAAATTCTGAGGTACTTAAGCTTTATTCTGAGGAACTATTCCGTGTACTCAGCATTACTAACGTTGAACCCTCACAAAGCGTCTGGTCCGGACGGGGTGCCAAACTGGCTACTTAAAGAATATGCAGACTTCTTTGCAAACCCCGTTTGTGATATGCTGAACAGCTCTTTCGACGAAAAAGCGTTTCCCGCAACCTGGAAATACGCAAATGTTACACAACTGTCAAAACGAAACCAGTTACCATAATCGCCAAGCACATTGGACCCATCTCACTAACCCCGGCACTGAGGACATTATCGTAAGAAATTATGTTGGCCCTGCCGTTCTTGAGATCATCGATCCCAACCAATGGACCTATTCCCTAATGAACAAAATTTTGATCTAGACAAGTCTAGACGAAAATCTCATCACAGCTTGAAAGAGCATCACAAAATTAGTAATATTCCAAAGTTTCGTTGCGAAATGTTGTAAAATGGGGATAATATAGCCCTACGAGGTTTGCCGTTTTTCAGTTATTTTGAATTACGCACGGGAAAGCGGTGACGCTCTTTCAAGCTGTGATGAAATTTTTGGCTAGACTTGTCGTCTGGATCAAAATTTTGTTCATTAGGGAATAGGTCCATTTGGTGCCGTACCGAAATCATCCTGAAAATTATCAACAGTACTACCCAAGCTCTTATTTCCATGATGCACACGTGGACTTCTGCCACTGATGGAACAGGTACAGCAGCGAGGATCGTGTTACTAGATTACAGAAAAGCTTTTGATCTGATCGACCATAGTTGACAAGATCTTTTCTCTTCGAATGCCGCGTGGTGTAGCTCGCTGGGTGTGTGACTTTTTGTTGAACAGGTTCCAACGTGTCAAACTGTCCAACGATTCTTCAATTCTTGTATGACGGAACTTTTTCTAAGTTGCATTTTAGTAATTTTGTGTTTGAATTTGTCTAACGATTGTTTCTCGGAATTGGGTACAGTTCCATCTGGTGTTCCCCAGGGTACAAGACTACCTCAACCCACCTGATGCGCACTCTTGGAAATATTAGGATGAAACCACTTTGACTGAGGTTGTCCCACGGAATGGTCAAACGAATGGTCAAACGCCGTAACCGAAGTTGAAAAATGGACTAACATCAACAAGCTCCAGCTGAATGCTGACAAGTGCAAGGAAATGGTCATTGATTTCAAGAAAGTGAAGCATCAGTTCGATACCATCAACGTGAACTGCAAAGAACTCGAGCTAGTGAGCAATGCCAAAGTATTACAGTAGGTGTTACCATATCCAACTCCATACAATGGCAAATAAACGTACTGGTGAGCATGCGTAGATTGAAAAGAGGTTGATAAATCCACGTACTTTCGGGTGTATTCGCGTATCAAAATGAAAAGTTCGTCGCAAGTCAACTTTTTGGCGTACTACGGAAGTATTAGCCTAAAGGCTGAATTGCGTAAAATTTACAAAAATATATGTAAATCTCACACACACAAAACATACGTATATACACAAACACACATATCAATAAATATGTACTGTAAAAAGTTCCGACCTCCACCACCACCATTTCTACCAGAAGCGTACCGTACCGAAACGTATCAAAAACATTTTTAAATTTCAAAATTTAGTGAATGTTAATTGGTTGCTATGTAAAATCATATTACAGTCAAACCGGATGTTCTCTTGCAAGCAACATTGCAATATTGTCCCACAATATTGCAATTTTGATAGCCAGATTGCTCTGAGCAATTTGTTCGTGTCAGTTGCAAATTAGAGCAATTTGCCTATCAAAATTGCAATATTGTGGGACAATATTGCAATGTTGCTCGCAAGAGAACATCCGGTTTGACTGTAAACTATCTATCCAATCATTTGCTTCAAATTTTGTTAATACGTGATTGCAACACTGATGACAAGTGAATTTTATTCCGGGCAACCAATTTTCATGTTTAACTTGCCGAAATCGTAAGTGGTGATAGTTACACCATGGATAATAAAATAAATGGACAGGAAACTAGCTGACGTGACCTAATATATAGCTTAAGATCTACGACGTCGACGTCAGCTAGGACGTCAGGGCTATGCAGAGGACTGGGACTAGGATGTCGTCCTAATGTAGTCCCAGTCCTCTGCTTAGCCCTGACGTCCTAGCTAACGTCGACGTCGTAGATCTTAAGCTATCTAATGTTTTCAATGGGCTGATGGCGTGATTGGATGTTGAAACCTAGTAAGGTTGCAAACCAAATTCTCAAAAACGGCATGTTTAGCATAATACAGCTAAACATTTTAGTCAAAGAGCAAATGAATATAACCACGCCATTCTACGATGAAATCTCTAAGTATTCCCAGTCAATTTTAGCAAATATTTGAAGGACTAAACAGTGAAAAAGGCATCCCAAATGAATACGCCAATTTCGTAGCTACAAATGTAAAAAAAATACAAAACAAAGACGAAAAACATTTACCTTGAATACTTTGTCGTGGCTTAGGTATGTTTTTAAAACAATTAGACCAGTATATGTTTCAATATTACTCTTTTAAAGCGGAAAGTATAGCGAAACAACAAAAATGCCGAGAACTTTGCAATACGCGTGACGTCACAGATTGCAACTAGGTTGTTTTTGCTTACGTCAGCTAGTTTCCTATCCATTTATTTTATTATCCATGGTTACACCACTGTTCGGAGTTGACTTAATCATTGAACCACCACTAATGCATGCCAGTGATGGCCCATTTGATTTACTTGACTTATGACAGAAAGACACATAATTAATGTTCTTACATACATATTCTCAGGATTTCAAAGAAGAAATGCAGTTCAGGAGACGAGAAAGAGGAAAGGGTGCCCCTACTAAAGGTTTGTTTGATGTTACACATTTAGTTGGGGTTCTTCTAGGCAATTTAACCCATTGAGTAGCAGCACTCTCCCCCCTGAGAAGTAAAATCGTCTGGTGTTAGACAGAGTAAAATAATAAAGTAAGGAAAAGTAGGGCACATCTGGGCGCATTGCCACTTAAAGAGTCAACAGGGCACATGGGCAGATAGTCTGATTAACCCATTGAGTGGCAGCACTCTCTCCCTGACGAGTAAAATCGCCTGGCGTTAGACAGAGTAAAATAATAAAGGAGGTCGCATCTGGGCGCATTGCCACTTAAAGAGTCAACAGGGTGCATAGGCAGATCCCCCTGACGAGTAATAAAGTAGGTTGCATCTGGGCGCATTGCCACTTAAAGGGTTTATTAAAACTGGATGCTGAAGGGTTGTTGACACTTTTTATGGATGGAAATCTCCAAAGGCCACATCACTTCAAAAAGTGAACAAGATTTTTGGGGGGTTTGGACTTTTTCAAGGTGTTCCTAGAGTGGCAGACCCCTCGAAAATTTTGAGTGACATGTTTTAGCCCTAACCAGAAGCAGTTGGAAAAATTGCAACTATAGACCCACTGGCAGGAATCAAACCTGTGATTCCAGTGCAGTTCTTGGATTTTTTTACAATTGTGTATGGTTTTCGTATCGCATTTCATCTGCAAAAACCCTGGAGCATTCTAATCAATCGAGCAAGATGCCAAAAATCTGTTATGGGGGTGGAGGTTTTCCAGAGAGAGAGGGGGGGGGGGTGTTTACTACGGGGGTGGATTTTTGAAATTGGAAGCCCTGAAATGCCATTTCCTGCATTCTGAGCACTATATTTATTCGTTAAATTTGTCCTCACAATACTTGTATGGTACGTTACATGGTGACCTGCCAGATTGGTTCTTGAACATTTTTTCATGTATTCGAAAATCAATCGTTTCAATATAAAAAAGTAGTACTCAAATATAGAATACAAGAGTTTTCTTCAAGGGGGTGGTGCTGTACAGATTGGGGGGGGGGCGCACCCCCCTCCACCCCACCGATACAACCTTCCCTGTATTAAACAATCACTTTAAATTTTCACAGGTCAAGGAAAACGTGCCAAGAAAAAGAAATAATGTGAATAAATCTGATGAAAGGTTAAATTAGGGCAAAAATACGAAAGCAGCATCGCGATCAGGCACTGGTGCACGAGATGGTTCTAATATATTGTACGTCTCCGGTGTAAATACAGGCATCTGAATGGTTTTCGCCAGTCACAGATAGACCAATTGTGTATAGAAACATTTATTGCAAATGTTTTGATAATGACAACTATTTACAAAGAACACTGTTGCAAACAAAGTAGAATGTTGCAAACAAATTACAACTACATAATAACTGTATTTTACATGGTATGATTATATTAAAATGTTCAAATACAAGTGACCACTACAACCATAGGTTGGTTACCCACCTAAGACAAAAGGAAGTCATGTGTGGCATAATGTAAACCAGAGCTATTGCTGTTGACTAATGTAGAATATATATTGTTGAGTATTCTACTAAAAGAACGTTCTACTACTGTACATGTGAATCCCAGATGTGAATGGTTTTAAATTAACCAATGATATAACATTGTCAAATGACTTACATGACCTTTGCAAACCTTACTCTAAGCGTGCAAAGCATAATGGGAGCATCATTTAATTAGTTTAGAAAGTATATATGGGGCCCATTTCTTAGAGGCATGGTAAATATCTCCTTACGAGAACAATTCATTCACAAATAGTCGCAATATTCAACTTCCTTAAGCTTTGCGCGCTTAGAGTTTAAGGTTTAGAGTGCCTATATCATGGTTTTGGAGTTTGCAAAAGAATTTTGTTGCAATGATACAAAGGAAAACTGATTTGCAATTCTCCTTTTGACGTCATGTCCGGTAACTTTAAGAGCTAATAAATCCATCAAGATGAAATTTTTCAATAACAAAATATATTGCAAAGTGTCTTAAAATACCCTAAACTTTCGAGATATGCAAACTCCAAAACCATGATATAGGCACTTTAAGGTTTGCAAAGGACAACCTTTTTTGAATTGGCTGTATACAAAGCATTCATAACATTTAACAAGTAGCCGCCATTTTCATAAAAATGACACAAACCAAACCAAAATTTCTAAATGAAAATTTTGCGTGATTAATTGTCCACAGGACAAGATTGCTAAAATAGAGGGACTGCTCGCAGTCCCTCTACAAGATTGCATTAGACAAGTTGCCTCTGTATTTGACCAGTATATACTTTTAACAAGCCATGATTGAGATTGTAGTGCTATATATAGTATGTCCATTTATAACCAGCTAAGAACCTCTGTACAATAATGTTAACTTTTATGGTTGAAGCTGCTGTAGGCTTCATAGTCCATGCAGTCTGCAAGGCGCTTTTGACAAATTGTGCTATCGACTGATATTGCATAGCACATATGTGTAAAGGTGTATACGGCATGCATCACTTGTTATGCAAATTGTGCTACCGATCTCTTCTAGATCTTTCACGACTGTCTCTGTCTCGACTTCCCTCCTTCCTCTTGTAACTATCACGATGTCTTTCCTTGCTACGACTTCGCTTATCTCTGCCATTTTGTTCCCGACTTTGCTTTCTCTCACGACTTCTGCTTCTCTTACGCCGATCTGGACTTCTCCGACGTGGTGAACGGTCGCGATGTCTCTTCCTGTCTCGACTTGAACTACGACTACGTTCAGGTTTTTTACTCTCGTCACGGCCTGGACTTTGTTCACTATAAAACAATACAGGAGAATCGTTATGCTTGTGTTGCATTGAAAAATCTTGGAGGAAAAAACTTTAAGCCGTGGATGGTCAAACATGGATCAGGGTTCGTACACCTTCTCCCATTTAAAATTCCATGACTTTTCCATGACTTCCCACGACTATATTTTTCAAAATCCATGACCTGGAAGTATGGAATTTCTGAAATTTGTTCATATTTTAACGATAACAGATTAATAAAAGAACAAAATTCACTTCCCTCTTGCAAAAATCCGTTATATACCAACAATTCATATTGTTATGACTGGTAAATTGAAATGAGTAAAATACTTTGTTAATGTTTTGTAAAATTTCAATTTTCCATGACTTTCCATGACTAAAATTGATTTTCCAGGCCTGGATTTTGGAATATTGAAATTCCATGACGTACGAACCCTGAAGGATGAGGGGGTGGCAAGTGAGACTTCGCATGGGAGTTTACTCAATCCCAGTCAAACGAGAACAAGAGTTTGCACGAGAGTTAATGAGTTGACTGGATGTTACTGTGTGTACTGAAAACATCAAACTTCTCAACAGTCTCTGAAAGTTGGCAGCCGAATCATGGCCGGATTTTGAGGGGAGGTGCGCACCTCCCCTGAGATCGTTTTGCACCTCCCCTGAGAATTTTGCACCTCCCCTGAAAAGTCATGCACCTCCCCTTGCGAAAGTTTCAATGATAGATCTGTTGTTAGTACGCAACACAATGTCAGGTGACTAGCTTGCACTTCAAACGTTTCAATTTAGCTCAGCTGGCGCTAGGCCACGAGAACTTCATTTAGGAAACACGATATTCCTAAAACTCCGGTCTGAATGTAAATTGCCAAATTTTTTATCTTTTGGCTAACACGCGATGCAGGTTTTTTTTCAGGGATTTCTTAGGGCCGTAAAACGGCCCCAAAAACTCAATCTTGAATTGAGTTTTGAAACTCCCACCAAAAGTTTCAGACTTTCAGTGCAGTAAAAATGACGTTGAGTTAAATTTGTGTCGTGTGGAAATTAGTTTTCAGTTGGAAACCCGACAATTAAGAAAAGAAGGCTGGAATTCATTTCACAGCACAATCTTCTCTGCAAAAACGGACCCACGAGAAAATCTTGGAAAAAAACCTGTGATGGAGCAAACAAAACTCTTCTTCTTTCGAGATCTCTATCTACATGTACTGAACAATAATTTAGTCTAATTTACCCATCTTTTTCTCTCATCATTTTTGAATATCGTTCTGCTTCACCAAACCCTTCGTCCGCTTTACGTTTTCTATCATCACAGAGATTACGCGCCTGTAGTTTTCCATTGATTTCCTTCTGAATCGGGACTGGTATACGAGGGAATAGCGAGTCATACCAATCTAACTTTAACATGAAACTACGGACCATCTGTCCGATTGTCATAGTACAGCCACCACCTGCTTTTGGGTCTACCTCCTGTGGAGAAAAGAAATAGAAAACAAAGACAGTTGGTTACAGAGTCTTCATTAGAAATTTAGAATTGGATGTGAAACTACCAAGTTACCAATTTCCAGACATCATCTACAGGGTTCTGCTCAGGGTCATGCGAGTGTTAGGTACTTAAACGTATGACCTGCCGTGCGTCCCCCCCCCCCCC